AACATTAGACAGCCACGTTATATACTTGGCCTCTTCCACAAACCCCGCCTCTCGCAACTTTCCTACTTCCTTCCTCAACGCCTCCTCCTTCTCCAAGGGGATTGGCCGCCTCTTCTGTTGGATGGGGCGTACGCCCTTTGCTATAGCGAGTCGGTGTTCCGCAACCTCCGCCTTAACGCCTGGCATCTCTTTGGCGCTCCATGCGAACAAGTCCGAGAACTCCTTCAAAAGGTCAACCATTGGCCCCAGTTCTTCTCCCGTCGTATGCGTCGACACGCGAACGCATCTGTCAGGTCGCAGGTCATCAAGAGGCACATGTATCTCTTCATCCGCCGCCTCAGCCCTTGGCAGGTCTTCAAGGTGCGTATCGATATTATACATCCGACTCCTCTTAGCGAGTCTCACCTCTGCAGAGGCCTCGCCCCTTGATATCCCGATGCCCTCCAGCGTGACAAACTTCAGGATCTGATGACAAGAGGAGGCTACCCCATTAAAAAGGGCAAGCAAGGGGCGCCCCAATATTGCATTGTATGGCGAGGGGCAATCAACTATGCCAAATTCCACCGTGTGTGTGACACAATGCGCTTCATCGCCCAGCGTCACTGGGAGGCGCACGCGCCCAAGCACTTGAGCCTGCGCCCCAGAGAATCCAATTAGCACCGTGTCCGCGGGCTTCACCATACTCGTCGCCAACTGCATCTTTTCGAATGTAGAAAGAAACAACACGTCCATCGAGCTCCCAGTATCGACCAACATCCTCTTAACTTCACACCCGGCAACCACTCCGCGGACTTCCAACGCCTCTGTGGAGGGCGTCCTACACGCCTCTTCAGGTACGTCGTTGAAGCGTATTTGTATGGCCTCTCGAGCACTGGCGGTGGCGGACTTCAGACGTCTGCTTTTCTCCAGCTTCTGCCACAAATCTACGGAGCCCGTGATGGCCTCGATAGTCAGTCTTACACGGTTCGGGTTAGCCCCCTGCTCCACATCGAATGGGGGTGGTGGTAACGCAGCGCCTTCCTTAGGTTGACCATCCACCGCCCCTCGCTCCTCGTCGGGCGCTTTCACTTGCTCTTCTTGAGCTACGAACGTCCTCTGCGCCCTGTCATCCTTCTTCACGAAGTCATTCAACATGCCCCTATCCACCAACCCTTGGATCTCAGACTTCAGCTGATAGCAGTCGGCGGTGTGGTGTCCCCGCTCCCTGTGGAACTCACAAAACCTATCGAGGTTTTGCTCATTTGGGCGCCCTCTCATGGGTCCCGGCCAACGGATATGGTACCCCTTGTCCTTCACAAATTGCAGCACATTTTTCAGCGAGTCATTGAGTTCAGTGAAGTTCCCACTTGCCTTGGGCGCGAAGCGCGACGGTTCCGGGCGCCTCACGCCCGCCGGGTAAAACGTGGGCGGGTTTAGGGTAGTCGGTACGCGCGGCGCCCGGCTCCCCTCGGTTTCTTCTGGGCGCATGTCTCTCCTCTCCAATCTTCTTGCCGCCAACGTCTCCTCTAACATGATCACCTTTTGCACCCTCCGGTCCAGATCCTCCGTGGACACCACGTCCCGTTTTGACAGCGCCCGACACAATTCCTCGCTGGTCGTGCACTCATCCAAACAACATCCCAAGACCGGGGGTTTAACATCCTTCACTGCCATGGCCACGGACATCCAGCGCTCGTAGAAGTCCCTAAGCGCCTCGCCCTTACGTTGCCTGACCTTAAATAGGGCACTGATAGTGAGACTCCTGAGCTTCCGGCTGGCGAACTTTGAAAGAAAAAGGGTTGCGAACTGCTCGAACCCATCGATCCTCCCCTCGTCGATTTGGTGATACCAATCCAAAACCACGCCCGTGAAAGTGGAGGGAAATGCGCGACACAGGGTGGCGTCCGAGCTGTTGTACAGCTGGATCTTGGTGAAATAGTTATTCAGATGGTCCTCCGGATCAGTTGTACCGTCATAGCTAGGGAGCGCCGGGATGACTGAGTTTGCTTGCTCGGACAATATGCTTCGCGCGAGTGGCTGCCTCACCCCCCATGGCCTTCCATGGCGTCGAGGCGCCCAACCGTTGTGTTCGTCAAAATCCGAGGCCAAGTGCTTCGTCAGGTGGCCCAAGTCATCGGTGCGCCTCAGCGCGCTTGACGCCCCTTCTTCATCCTCCTCCCGGTCCCTTCTCTTTCCCCCGAGTGGGGGCGCTGCTTCGGCCCCCTTATTCAGCGCCTCCACTTCCTTCCTGAGCGCCTCCAGCGCTTGATCTTGCTCCCTGATTATGTGAAGCAAATGCTCCTTCGTGAGGGTGACACCCTCAGATTGGGCCGTCTCTTGCGCCCCATTATCCACCCCTGCATGCGCCTCTCCCGACGGCACGGGCGCCTCGCGGGATGCCTCGGCGGCCGCCTGTCCTCCTTCCCCCTCAACTCCTCCTAGCGCCTCCATGGCCACTGACTTGCTTGGTAGCTCGATCGGTCGTTCGCTCACCTTCCTCGATTTCACCTTCCCCTTCCTGGCGCGCCAATTGTTCGTGCCCGGAACCCCTCTCTTCACGCCTGGCGTATCGACCCTCTCGGTTCCCCCCGATATGCGCCCTCCTGCACCCACAGATGTACTTAGCGGACCAGGGTGGTCCGTTAGCACTCCAACGCTCAAGTGAGAAACCTACTTTTAGAGAGAGAAGCGAAGGAACAGTTCTAGTAAGAGAAGCAAAACTGAGTCAATGAGGTTTACCTACTCGACTATTTATACCCGGGGCGAGATCGACCGGTATCCGTCGCTCTCGCCCTGTGTCAGGCCCGTCATAAATGCACCGTACGTTCCTCGCGCATGCGCCTCGACCACCTGACACCGTGGTCAGAGAACCAAGGCGCATGACCTCACCAAGTCAACTCTCCGTACCCTTTCGACCGTTGGCTACTTTTGTCTTGTGCGCCCCTCGCCTGGCATCCGGTCCCACCTGTCTCCCACGTCACTCTGGCCACCTGCGTCCTTGTCAGGGCGCCCCCTTAGCCCCAAAACTCTTGCCCCCCATGGGCTTTCCTGAGCTCCCTTGACTGGGCCCATACCTACATCCCACTAACACCCTACTTTGGGCTTTTCCCTCTATGCTGGCCCTTGGCCATACTTGTTCCCCCAACAATTATTATTATTATTATGTGGTTTGATTATAATTTGTTATTGTATATGATATATATTTGTGTTATTTGATGTGATTCCTCCAAGGAATGGTAGAAATACCATTGCCTAGGAATGATTCAACTTTGCAGTTATTTGAGCCAAAACTAGAGAAACACATGCGAATGTGAACTTGCACAAGGAGTGTACGCATGCTTGCGCGGCGGCTAATGAATTGATGCAATGAGAAGAGATGGAATTGGTTGAGCAGTGCAAGCTGAGCATTCTTGGTTTCGGTGTGATGGTCAACTAGCTTTATGATTGGAATTTGGAAGAGCAAACTGGGAGGTGAGGAGGTGGCAGGATAGGAAACCAATCGGAAGTATGAAAGAATGCAAATTGGACAACTTGGATGAAAATAAGTTGAGGACAGAGATTGTTGGAATAAGTGGCTGAAAATTTAAATTCACACTGCATGGGCACATTAATTGTTTGCCACTGTCTAATGGGCATATTAATTAATTCATTAATTGGGTGGACAACCAGCCAACTCTCTCCCACATTTACTAGCATTCGGTGCTAATTAACTTTTAACTGCTATAGAAGAGGAGGGCTTGAATTCTTGCATAAAAGGAAGAAGTCGAGTGAGAGACTGAGAGGGGTGAGGGGCATTTGTAGGAGGAATGGCAATGACAACGGCTTGGGACGGGTATTTCAATATTCATATTTGTTTCGTGGTTAGATTGGGTATATATCAGGTAATTTATTACGGGAAGTGGGTTGGGGCAGGTCGCCCCAATGAGTATTTAATTTACATGAAAAGTATTAGACATATTCATTAGCAGATCAAGAAACAAACCATAATATGATAAATGTAGTTAAATTATTGGAGAAATTGAGGTTTTCATTAATTTTTAAATTTATTTTAGCTAAAATATGATGTAATAAAATTAAAATCCTAAGTAATTTAAAAATGACGTCGTGTGTTCTAAAATCCGATTACCTTACAGCGATTGATCTACAAGTGCGTGTGGCCCGTTTTTCTCACTGAATCGAGTTCAAAACGGATCGACGAACTTGGTTGTGAGTAGGGATGAACAAAATAACCCGCAACCCGACCCATCCGTCCAACCCGACCCAACCCACCCATATTTATTGCAATAATTAAGATTTAAGGTTGGGCGAGGGTTTATTTTGTACAAGCCGCTTCTATTGGGTTGGGCGTGGATTTTGGGTTACCCAACCTGCAAATTCCGACCCAACCCGTGTTCCAACTTTTGTCATAAATGTTCGTATCCATCCCATATTTGTAAGAAATTTCAGATATTTAATCATATTTTTCTCTTGTGTTTTCTCCAACGTAATACATTATTCTACTTAAAATTTAAAAAAACTAGACTTATTTTAGAAGAATAATATATTATGAATGTGTTCACTTATAATCATTTTAGTTTATTTCGACAAATGTTTGTGAGGGAAAAACTAGACTTATCATGAAACAAATTGTACGTATTTCATTAAAATGAAAATACCATTTATACATTTTCATACTTTCGCTTTGATTTATTTGTTTAAAAATTTAATGAGTTATATAATATTTTGTGGTGTAGAATAGTATTTTTTGTGTGTTGTGTTTGATTTTCATTTAAAAATATCTCTAACCCGATCCAACCAGACCCAACTATATACAAATCTTAGGGTTTCAATTTTTTTTGGATAGATGAGATTTGATATTCTCAAAACGGTAAATCAGTAATGTATAAGTAGGATGATTAAAATGACCAAATCCAAACCAGCGGCAGGCAATGTACACCCCTAGGCCCTAGTTGTTGTGACAACGAAAAACACAAAACGGAATGGGTGATAACTGATAAGTGAACGGGCGTAATCCGGCCCAACTAGATTAGATTGGAGGATATATATTGGAGGATTCATATCCCTCCGTCCCCATTTACACCAAGTCACTAGCAGCACCAAGCCAGCAACAAACTGCAAAGCATACGCTCAAAGCAGTTTGTGGAGAGGGCCGCCGCCGCCGCCCAGTCCTTCTGGGTTTCCCGACTCCATCCATCGCCACCGCCCTCCTCCGCGCTCCGTTTCCTCTCGATGGACGCAGTCTCCGAGGAATCACTCCGCAGAGCTCTGGCAGAGAAGCAATCTGCAATCGATGCTCAGGGCAACGCAGTGCGCGCCCTCAAAGCTTCTAAAGCGGACAAGTCTGAACTCCAAGGTGCAATCGATGCCCTCAACGCCTTGAAGCTTGGCAAGTCCTCGCTCGAGAAGAAGCTGCAAGCCGCCGTTACCGGCGGCGGGCCTGCCGCCGAGGGCGCCCTAACCAGGGAGGCCTTCCGTCAGGCCGTCGGTAACACCCTCGAGCGACGCTTGTTCTACATACCCTCTTTCAAGATTTACGGAGGCGTCGCTGGGCTCTATGATTATGGCCCTCCTGGTTGTGCTGTTAAGTCCAATGTTCTCTCTTTTTGGCGGCAGGTAATTCCAATTCAATCACGGTCCTGTTAAATTGAACCCTAATTCACTTCTTGGTGGGTGGTTCTTCCACTAATTCATAATTAGGAGATAAATTCCGAACGAACTGTAGCTGGAGATGTCAGCTTTTGTTGGGGTTTTTTTTCTTCTGCTAGTTGAAAGAAATATGAGAAAACCTGCTGCTACAACTTGATGATGATGACTCACCCTTTAAAGTGTGGTTTCTTCAGCATTTTGTGTTGGAGGAGAACATGCTGGAAGTGGACTGCCCGTGTGTGACGCCCGAGGAAGTTCTGAAAGCATCTGGTCATGTGGATAAATTCACAGATCTCATGGTTAAGGATGAGAAAACCGGAGATTGCCATAGAGCTGACCATTTGCTGAAGGACTTTTGCAATGAGAAGCTTCAGAAAGATCTTACTATAACTGCTGAGAAGTCCCAGGAACTGAAGCATGTACTTGCAATGTTGGATGATTTCTCTTCTGAAGAACTCGGTGCCAAGATTAAGGAATACGGCATTACAGCTCCTGACACTAAGAATCCACTCTCTGATCCCTACCCATTCAACTTGATGTTTCAAACTTCCATTGGGCCATCAGGGTTGATTCCTGGGTGAGGATATTTTCTTTTCTTGCAGAATCTGTTTATTCCATTACTTGAGTTCTGGCAGTTGCAAAATAGTAAAATGATAGGCGCCAATCTTTAATGCAGAGATTGAATTGTGCTTTTGTTCATTTCTCTTGCAGCTATATGCGGCCCGAAACAGCACAAGGTATATTTGTAAATTTCAAAGATCTGTATTACTATAATGGCAACAAATTGCCGTTTGCTGCTGCTCAAATTGGTCAGGCATTCAGAAATGAGGTTAAGCTCCTTCCTTCCGATGCAAAAGTTCTCTGCTGATATATTGTTCTTCATTTGCAAAGGATCAGTTATAGTGTAGAAACAAAATATGCTCTTTTTATTTCTAGTTACGCCTTCATATTTCACGGTCTATTAACAAAAGAAATTTAAGCAGCTCATGGCCGAGCGCTTACTTCTTGAGGTGGGGGTGGGGCCCCAATGGTATTCGACGGGATAGGTTTCATTGTGGCACATGTTAGCGTGATGGGCTCACAGTAAGCAGCTGAGCTGAAAGGCTTTGTGCTCAGGGCCCCATGGTCGCTTCCCCACCCTCATCTTTGTGGCTTGACCTAGTGGATTGCCCCCACATCTTATCTTTCTGGTCCTCAATCTTATTAGAAGGAACAAAATTATGAAAATTGTTCTCAAGTGTCTTGTGTCTGTTTCCAGTGTTTTAACTGGTGCAAATCATTTCGTTAGAATTATCTTTTGGTCTTAATTGTATTTGCCGATCCTAAATGCACAGATTTCTCCTCGGCAAGGTCTGTTGAGAGTTCGTGAGTTTACATTGGCTGAAATTGAGCACTTTGTTGATCCTGAAGACAAGTCTCATCCTAAATACCTGGAAGTTGAGAATCTAGAATTCTTGATGTTCCCGAGGGAAGAACAGATGTCTGGACAATCTGCAAAGACAATCCGACTTGGTGATGCTGTTTCAAAGGTTTGGTTTTCTGTTGTCATTTGATTTAGATCCTGTTCTTGCCTTTTGCAGTTCACTGTTGGTCACATCTCTTTATCCCTTCCATTTCGTTCAGGGCATTGTCAATAATGAAACTCTTGGATATTTCATTGGTCGAGTGTATCTCTTCCTAACTCGACTTGGCATAGACAAGGAACGCTTACGATTTCGGCAGCATCTGGCAAATGAAATGGCACATTATGCTGCAGACTGTTGGGATGCAGAGATTGAGTGCTCTTATGGTTGGATTGAGTGTGTTGGTATTGCGGATAGGTCTGCATATGACTTGCGTGCTCATACGGTGAGGATTTATTTTCTTTCTGTTATCAGGTATAAGAATCGGGAAGAAAGCATCTAATCTTAAGTTTTGGTATTTGTTCTGGTATATACCAGAATATAGATAATTTCAACATGAGAATTTGGGATGTGAATCAATGTTGTTTCTGCTTTGTGCTATTCTCTTACTTGGATACTGCTGCATCCTATTGCTGTTATTCCTTGAGCTTCTTGGCTCTGAAAAATATTCTGGTCGACTCATAGATACGAAGGGTAGATCCTCATACAAAAAATATTTCTTTCTTGTGACAGGAAAAAAGTAAGGTTGCACTTGTTGCCTCTGAGAAATTTGCCGAACCTAAGGAAGTTGAGGTATTTTTTGCTTACTTTTTGTGGTTAGTGATTGCTGTTATTCCTTGTTATTTTGGCTTTCTATATGTCTCTGCAAGTGTTGCTTGTGATTGATAATCTCTCACCATATGCTGCCAGAAACTAGTGATTACACCTGTGAAGAAGGAGCTTGGCCTTGCATTTAAGAAACGTCAGAAGAATATTGTTGAAGCTTTAGAGGTGAGATTTGCGTTTTTATCTTGCAGATGTTTATTGACATGAGTTTAAGACATTGCAGAATAACATAAGGTATATCTTTTCCATTTTCTGGTGACAGGCAATGAATGAAAAAGAGGCTATGGAGATGAAGTCCTCTCTAGAGAGCAAAGGTGAGGTAGAATTTTTTGTCTGCACTCTCGACAAATATGAGACAATCAAGAAAAACATGGTCTCAATTTCGAAGGAGAAGCGGAAGGAGCATCAAAGAGTTTTCACACCATCAGTCATTGAGCCGTCGTTCGGCATTGGAAGGATCATATATTGCCTTTTCGAACACTGCTTCTATACTCGGCCTAGTAAAGCTGGGGATGAGCAGTTGAATGTCTTCAGGTTTCCACCTCTGGTGGCACCAATAAAATGCACCGTCTTCCCACTGGTTCAGAATCAGAAGTACGAGGTGGTTGCTACAGCCATTTCTAGGTCGTTGACTGCTGCTGGAATCTCTCACAAGATTGATGTTACAGGTATGTGGACAAGTGTTCTGTTGCATGCCACCAATAAATGGCACTGTCTTCCAACATTGCTCGTCTTAGGGCATTGTAGAACTGATGCATTGTATGCTTACCACACCATATTAACTGTGGTGACTTCTTTTACAGGGACCTCAATTGGGAAACGATATGCTAGAACCGATGAATTGGGTGTACCCTTTGCAATTACTGTGGATTCAACAACTTCAGTTACAGTCCGAGAAAGAGACAGCAAAGATCAAATCCGAGTAAACGTCGAAGAGTTGGCAGCAGTGATGCGATCGGTAACCGAGGGACAAACTACATGGACTGATGTTTGGTCACGTTTCCCCCATCACTCGGCTGGATCGACCAATGAGTCCGAGGATTGAGTCCTCACAGTCACAGGGTACAACACTAATTTGTTCAGGCATACAGCTGGAGTCTTCAAATCTTAATTCCTGTTTCTCTCCATACTGTTTTTTGCACTTGTTGCCATGATGGATTAGACGCTGCCTAGTTTTGAACTATGCTATTTTAGAACTATTGAGGGTTTTGGACTGATATTTTAGAACTTCTGTGAGCCAAGGTTCTTGTTTCCAGCTGTTAAATGTAGAGGGATACACCAGCCTTCAGACGTCCACCGAGTTGTCTTTTCACCCACAAATCACAATCGCAGCGCATTGTTGTAACCGATTAGGTCAACGCCGACGTTGATATCAGATTGGTAGATATTCCAGTGGCATTTGTGGGAACACCGGCGACTTTCTCAGCGCAACGACAAAAGCTGAGCAGCTACAACTAGGGAGGATGACAATGGGTCGGGTTGGAGCGGGTTATTGTCAAACCCAAATTTATGAGTTTATTCAGCAAAAAAATTCAGGGTAAAATTCACTGGATTTGAAAAATTCAAATCCAACCCAACTCGCTAGGTATTCGCTGGTTCATGTACAAAGATGCAATTACACAAGTTTTCACTACTATTGTTTACCACATACACACTAACTCACAAATTATTCATATTAATGGTTTCATATTAAAGATAAACATCGACAAACAATATGATTAATTGACGTGTGAGGAATTAGTTTAGAATTATAGTTATTTTTTTTTTTTCCAAGAAATATCAAGAAAACCTATACAACCTACCAAGACCCTGCCCAACCCAAAACATTAGTGAAGCCAACCTACAAAGTCAAAGGTACACAACTCTAAAGGGGAGAGTAACAGGGCTTTCTGCGCCACTCTATGGGCAGCCCTGTTAGCAGTCCGAGGAACTGCCCTAAACTCTAAAGAACCAGAGACGGAAGACCGGAGAAGAGCGCAATCCCGAAGCACTGAACCTCCAACGGAGTCTGAGAGAACGCCTTGACAAAGCTGACGAACCACGACCTCTGAATCCCCTTCAATGATGACTTGAGACAGAGATTTGGCCACCAAAAGGAGGATGGCGTCCCTAGCAGCAAGGAGCTCCGCAAGGTAGGGATCAACAATGCCAGGATGAAGAAACCCAACTGCCAGAGCCACATGCCCGTCTGAACTGCGTACGACTAGACCAGACGAGCTCCCAGAAGGCCGAACAGCAGCATCAAAGTTGATCTTCAAAAAACCATCAGGAGGCGGGGACCAGAACGAGTAGCGGGAGGAGGAAGGTTGGGGCGGAGGGGCAGGGACCAAAGGAAGGACAGAGGACAGCTCACGAACTTGGAAAAAACATTGACGCGCGAGAGACTGGGCATGAGGTTGGAAATGCTCAAAAACCACCTTATTTCTAGACTTCCAGATCCTCCATAATACACAAACGCATAGGAGGATGTGGGATTGGGGGTGCTCAGAAAGCATAACATGTCGCCACCAGAGACTGAAATTCACAGTCGGGGCCGAGGAAATGAAATCATTTAAGCCCATGAGTGACCACAAACTTGTGGCCAAGGGACATTTGAAGAACAGGTGTTCAAGACTTTCCGGACCCCTCCAGCAAACTGGGCAACGTCTCAGACAGTTTACTCCTCTAGACCTGAGAGCTACTACCGTTGGTAAAACCACTCTAAGGCACTGCCAGATAAAGAACTTTAGCTTTGGGGGGGATACCATGTTCCAAGTTTTCTTCCAGATAGGAGGATCAATGATTTGGACCAGTTGTTTTCGGCTCGAGACTAAGGAGAGCTCAAGAGCTAGGTGGTATCCTGTTTTGACAGTATATGAACCATTCTTTGTATAATGCCAAACTCTCGTATCCCTTTGTTGGCACCTTGGGAGCGGGATTTTACAAATAAGGTTCACTGTTAGAGGATCAAAACAATATTGCAGTCTTGGGACATGCCACTCGCCTCTATTTTCTTTGATGAAGAAGGAAACTCTTGGGGAATTAGTTATGTTCTCGAGGCGAACCAACGGTATAATGGGTTTGTCTGCCATAACCCATTTATCTTTGAAAGCCACAATGTCATGTCCATCCCCAACCTGCCATCTTAAACCCTGGAGAAGGAGGTCTCTACCAAAGAGAAGGCTACGCCAACCCCAAGAAGGGTTCGAACCAAGACTAGCATCCAAAATTGTGCCCTGCTGAAAGTACCGACCCTTATAGATCGAAGCCAGAAGAGAGTTCGGGTTTTGCCAAATTCGCCAACATTGTTTTGCTAACAAGGCTTGATTAAAAGCCCCAAAGTCCCTGAAGCCTAAACCCCCCAGAAATTTACTATGCGATAAGCTTTTCCAGGATACCCAATGAATTGGGTGCTCCACATTATCTGCTGAGCCCCACCAGAATCTAGCTACTTGACTATTTAGTCTCTTGCAGTTTTCTTTAGGGATCTTGAAGCATGACAATCCATGTACTGGAAGGTTGGTGGCGGCTGTTCTGATCAAAACGTCTTTGCCAGCCTTAGAAAGAACCCGCTGTTTCCAACCTTGTAACTTTTTAACAAGCTTCTCTTCTATAAATTGGAAGGCTTCTCTTTTTGATCTTGAAATGATAGAAGGGAGTCCCAAATAATAATCATGTTCTCCAATGCTTCCCACTCCTAGCTGCTCCCCTAGAGCCGCAGCTAGATCTGGATTCATATTACGGCTGAAAATAACAGCTGACTTTTGCAGGTTGACTCGTTGGCCGCTTAGACCTTCATAGGCTTGGAATAGGGAAAGAACTGTTGAGCATGACTGCGATGTGGCCTCTAAGAAGAGATAAGAGTCATCCGCAAAGAAGATGTGGGATACCATCGGACAGTTCGTCCTGATTCTGACTCCTTCCAGATATCCTACTGCTATTGTGTGCCTTATCATTGCAGAAAACCCTTCTGTACAGATAGCAAATAGGAGGGACGATAAGGGATCTCCTTGTCTAAGACCTCTTGCGGGACGGAAATAATTCGAGGGAATCCCGTTTACCAGAACCGAATAAGAAACCGTTGTGACACATTCTTTTATCCATGATACGAAATTGTGGTCAAACCCTAGTACCTTCATCACTTCAAAGAGGAAAGGCCATTCCACACGATCATATGCTTTTTCCATATCTAGCTTTAGGGCCATCCATGTTCGTTGACCTGAAGTTAGGGTCCTGAGATGATGAGTTATCTCATGACTGATTAGAATATTGTCAGCGATTTGACGCCCTTTAATGAACCCATTCTGGGTTTGGGAAATTACACTGGGGAGGACTCTGCTTAGTCTATTAGCTAGGATTTTTGCTATGATCTTATAGACTACTTGACACAGACTAATAGGTCTAAGATTTTTCATGGTCCTAACTTCTGCAGTTTTTGGGACCAGTGAGATCCAAGTTCTATTGAAAGATCGTAACAGGTGACCAGAGTGAAAGAATGCTAGGACTGCCTTAGTGACACTGCTGCCAACTATATCCCAGTATGCTTGGTAGAACCCGGCTGTGAAACCATCTGGTCCCGGAGCTTGAGTTTTCCCCATACTGAAGACAACTTCTCTGACTTCTTCTGGTGTGACACTAGCTACAAGAGCTTGATTTTGTTCATCAGAGACGGAATATTCAAACGGGAGATTTGACACATTGATACCTTCATTAAGCTGAGACTGAAACAAGGTTTGATAAAACTCAACTGCTATGCTTAGTTTCTGGTCTCCATCAGTACACCAAAGGCCCCTAGAGTCCTCCAAACCCCAAATGAGATTGGCCTGGCGCCTGATTGCTGTTATCATATGAAAATATGGGGTGTTACGATCCCCTTCTGTTAACCAGCTAACACGCGACTTTTGCCTCCAATAGACTTCTTCCATCCTGTACTGAACCTCAAGCCTCTCTTCCAGAGACCGTATCAGAATCCAATCCACTACGCGACTTTCCCGTGCCTCAACAAGAGCTGAGCTTAGGTCTTTTATCAGCCTGGCTGAATTGGACGTACCCCCTTTGCACCAGTCTACTAGGGCGTGACGGACCCTGAGCAATTTGTTAAAAAGACAGAATTGTAGGGAACCCGTTATGGGTGTATTCCAGACAAAGTCGATAATGAGCCTTGCTTCAGGGGTTCTAGTCCATCTAATATCAAAATGGAATAGACGTTTAGCTCTAGTCATTTCTGGCGTTGTCATGAGACACAAGAGTCTATGATCTGACCCTTTATCTGAGAGATGATAAAGACAAGAGTTTGGCCAGTGGGAAGCCCAGCTTGTGGAAACAAATGCTCTGTCAATTTGTTGTTCAATTAGGATACCATTTCTTCCTCGGTTAGTCCAAGTAAATTTTGGACCCTGAATTCTTACTTCTAGCAAACCCAAATTATTTAAAAAGTCCCAAAGGGGCCGGGCTTTGTCCATTCGCCAAGGGGCACCTCCTGATTTCTCTACCGGGGATAAGGAGCAATTAACATCTCCAATTATTAGAAAGGGGTCTGACAATCTTGCACAAAAGCTATTAATCTCCTCAAGTTGTGAGCGCCTATTTGCGATTATGTAGGATAAGTATACTCCTACTAGCACAAAACGAGGACAGGCATCGTAGCAATGGGAGTTATTATTAATGACCGAAATAGCAATGAAAAAAGGGGTTGAGCCAATGACAGAGACCGAATTCCCTCTTGGCCACCCAAAAACTAAACCCCCCGACAGACCGGTAGGGTTAACTGGAAAGCAATCTGAAAATCCTAATCGAGACATAAAAGATTCAACTTTATCTCTAGGGGACATTGTTTCACAAAGAAATAAAAAGGACTTAGACAAATTTCGGTGAGCTTTTAGCGTCTGGAATGTCAGGGAACTCCCTACCCCTTGACAATTCCACGCGTAAACATTCATTCAGACTGGGGGGGGCCAGTTGGGGCTGGCTACCTCCACCCTTTTTCCTTTGTTATTATCCTCGCCAGTAGCAATTGGGATGGAATTAACCACTCCTTCTTCTGGTTCCTGGATACAAATTCCGGTATTTCTTCGAACATACACCCTTGTGGTCTCTGAGGATTCGATCAGTATGGCCTTCCCTTTTGACTTTCCATCCGCCACGCACCCTATCGGAGAGCAAGAAAAGGCTGTATCTGTAGATTGATCCATACCTTCATTATCAAAGAATTGCATACCTATTCCTTGCATTCCAAAAGAGTGAATATCCTCAAAATCGTCAAATAAAACCCCGGATCTTCACTGCAGTATAAGTTACCTATCCCATAAGAAGGCGATGGAACTTGAACTTGAAGCGGGATGGGCTCTAGCCCTAGAGGTTGGGCTTCAGAACTGATGGGCCCAAGTCTGGTTTCCTCAAGGCTGCCGAGGTTGGCCACCAACAGCCTTTGGGCCGGCCTGTAATTTGCTGGTTCTTCTATTGGTTGGACCAAATCATGCCTCGGCCCATAGTTTGACTGACTCTCCAGATCACAGCCCTGGGCTTTAGTTCTTGTAGGAGCAGCCGAGCTTCTCAACTGGGCCGGCTCACTAGCATCCCCCATTCTTCCCTGACTGAGAGGACGCGGCGGAAACTGCCTTGCGGCGTCACTGCTTACGCCGCCGACGCGGGTGGGAGCTTCAAGAAGGAGCGTATTGGACCGGGAATGCGGATGAGGGCGGGCTCCATGGCGCCAGACATTGCCTCCCCAATTCCGACCACCCTTGCGCACAGCTGCGTAGGAATTTTCATTCAGCTTCGGGCCG